AGAGAGGACAGCTGCCCGAAAGGCAGGGACAGCGGAAGCCTTGTTCTTCCTTTTTGCAGAAGCAGCTCGAGGACGTGTGAGGCTAGGGGGAGGACTGGCACCTGTTTTCCCCTGTGATGTTATCCATCGTCTGAGGACTGTGCTGTGCGCGGGCCTGGGAGGCCTACCTTGGGCCTAGTCTGGGGCTCCCTGAGGCGGAGCCATCCTGGTCTGTAATTGGCTCTTCCCTGCCCACAGAGGCCTCAGAGAGCTCTGGATGGCAGAGCCGGCATGTGGCCTACCTGTCGCACACCTGGAGGAGGAAATCATTGACCAGGCTCTCGTGGCGGCTGCAGATGCTCCTCTGGAGGGCGGTCTTGAGCCAGTCCTCAATGCTGCACACCTGCACGCGGCTGGAGTGCCAGCAGATGGAGAGGCTCCGGAGCGCCGGGCTCAGGAGGAAGTTGTCCTTCTTGAGTTCTGTGAGGGAACGGAAGTGCAGCAGGGGCCAGAGTGCGGGGTCCTCAAAGACGTCCTGAAGCTGGGGGCAGGTGCTGGCAAGGTTCTTCCTGCTGTCCCTGTCCAGGAAGGAGAAGAGGTGCAGCAGGCACTCCCGGTTGAGCTGGGTGATGTGCATGGTGCGCGGCAGCCACTGAGTGTGGCTGGAGCCCAGGGACCTGACCTACCTCCTGCCGCTCCTCCCCAGCTCTGGGCTGGTGGACATATATGGTTGAGGAATGGTGTTTATTTTTGGCCAGCAACTGGTGCGGCTGCTCTGAGGAAGGGGGAAGCCAGGACCCAGACATACGTGCAGCCGTCTGTGGCTCAGCTTCTGTTCAGAGGAATTGAAAATCCTGGCAGAAAAGCAGCATATTGAAGTTAAATAGCTTCCTTAAAAGGGATTTTTCTTTTCTTTTTAGCTGACAGTGGTGTTAGGCAGAGAGCTCTTTTGGCTTTTCCTGAGGCATTTTCACTCAAGCTGGCTGGTAGACCCCTCTGTCTGCGCTTGCAGTCTGTACTCACTGGGAGGGACAATAATTGTAAACAGTATCTGTTCATATTTTCTAGGACATCAGTATGAGTCTTTTGCTCTGTCCTTAGTGGGATGAAGCCTGTTGTCTATAAAGAGCTAAGGGTGACAGTTTTGTACTCAGAGGTATAAGCAGAAGCCATGGGTAACACCTCTTTTTTTCTGGTACTTTTGCTCAGTAGTGGTAGTTCCCAGAATAGGCTAAATTATTCCAATCCTGCTGCCTCCTCCAGGCAAAGGGATTTCCTTGGTCTCCCAACTGGCTCTATTCTTACCCTGAGTTGTTTCAAGAAAGATTTATCTTAAGTAACTTCTCTCTCCAAGGTTCTTCTGTGTGTTTGTGTCACATCTTAAGTTCACTTGGCGTTACATTTTTCCAGTGGTGTGCTCTGCTGTATCTAGCCTGTATTTCCCAAAATGTCAGGATGAATGAGGTCGCTTTTATTACAAAACTTTTGAAACAACTTTAAACTGAAGTATTTCAGTCTGAGCTTGCCCTTTGAGCCAGCCACACACCATCCTCCTTACGTCCTCAGTTCCTGGCAGTAAGCAGCATTAAGTTCTCCCTCCCTGAAGTAACTGAGAGTTTCATCCATGGATCCATTATCTAATACCGCTTTGCTCCCAGTCCTTCGGCCGACACTACCACAGTCCCCCTCCTGTGAACTGCCGGCCCCGTGTACTGGTTGGTCGGTTTGAGGGTCAGTGGTGAGGTGAGGAACCGGCTTGTCCTCTGCTAGACCAGCGAGCAGCACCTCAGGGGCTACCTTTGCTCCTTCCCCCCTGTAATTGGGGTTGGAAGGAACGGCTCCCTCTCCTGGAACTACAACCTGGTAGGCCTGGTGCAGCTGTGCCTGTAAAAGCAGAACGCAGCCAAGGAAGGATGGGGGCCGGCCCGCTCCTGTGTCCTCTCGGCCTCAGCTACCCAGACATTGACAAGGTGAAGTGGAAGGGGTGTCTTTTCTTAAAAACAACATAAACCAAGAAACAGCCAAATGGAAGAAGTGTTTCTCAAGGAAAGGATGACTAGCTACTGCTAATGTTTCAAGCTGATCATTTTAGCTGTTCAGAGTTTCAGCGGACAGCCACAGCCCCTCTCTGGGCTCTCATTGTGCTCATCCACACAGAAGGCAGTGCTGCAGCGCAGTCGGGTTTAGTAGGAAGCCTCATTATCGCCGCGTTCCCTCCCAGATCCTTTCAAAACCAGTACTTTTCGGAGTGCTGACCCCTGGGTCTTTCACCTTCTTGAAAGGCAGAGCAGTGTGAGCATGCCAGCCATAGCAGGGAGTCACCTTGGTCCCCGAGGTTTCTGAGGTTTCCCAGCCATATTCCTGCAGCCCTGCACGAGCAGCAGGAGACGGGCAGGGCAAGCGGTGGGGCTTGGCCCCTCTGCTGCTTCTGGGTTGCGGGAAGCATCCCAGAACGCAGTGGGGCCCGCGTGCTGGCCTGCCTGCAGGGAGGGAGCTGGCTTGCGGCCCGGGGTGCTGTGATGCCAGCGCCCTGCCTCTTGCTTCTTGGCTGCGGCAGCGGCAGCTGCACAGCCTCTGAGCAGCACAGCAGCCAAGAGGAAGCGTGCGATATGGGAGCAGAAGGCAAAACCATTTGGGTTGCAGGCGCCTCCGTCTTCAATTTTAGAAGACTGATAGGAACAGCCAAATAGGTAACAGAAAAATGCTGGGTGTAGACACAGGGTGGTTCTTGTTTCTTCGGTTTGCAGGGGGCATGGGGAAGCGAGGCAGTGTTTAGGAGCTTACCGTAAAGCAGAACGTGTATTTTTAACAGCACTTATTTGGCCTATTTGACTTTAAAAGGTGATCCGTTGCTCAGAACCCCAGAGCTCGTTCCTCGGGGTAGAATCTGGCTCTGAAGGAGGCAAGTGGGCCTCAGTTTTACATAGACAGTGTCATGAGGAAAGACAGGATGAAGTCCCTTAGCGAGGGTGCCTGCCTGCAGGCACTAGAGGAGAGCTCCGACCACCACCTGCCCCTCGGGTCACTCCAGCAGCCCCTCGCAGTGAGGGGTTTGTGAAAACCCACTACTCTCTTTTGACTGACTCACAAGGCCTGTAGCTTGAGCAGGTACTGCATTTACTTTGCTCCACTGAAAAGTGTTCAGAAGTAATGTCAAAAGGAAAGAGACCAGATCTTTAATGGTATTTCCATAAAACAGTTCAGGCTGGTGAAGCAGAAAAGGGATGTGATTACAACGTAAATGAAGTCGATCACTTGCACAGTTAATCCTCTCGGCATCATACAAACTAGGTTTTAGCAGGAATGATCACATCACAGCCCAGCCAGTGCTGGTGGAGGGCAGCCTGGGCAGACCTGAGGGGGAAGGTGTGCACCCGGTGAGGCCATGCCCAGACCCTGGGCTGCAGCACGCCGCCACCACCCGCCCCCCTCTGCCTTGCTGGGGGCGCCCTCCTGCAGCCACACGCTAGTCACCTGGGACACATGTCCTGGCTGCAGAAGCTTCCCCAGGACCCGAGTGGAAAGGCCACGTCAGGAACAGAGGGAACGTGAGAGAAATCAGAGGATGATGGAGGTGGGACGAGTGGATCTAAGCAGACGTTCGTATACTAACCCAGTGAAGGAGAGGTTTGGCTTCAGGAAATAAGCATGTCCCCAGTCCCAGAAACCAAGCTGCTAAGGAGGTTCCACAGGTGAGATACACATTTAACACTTAACCCGGGCCATACGCTTTGCTGGTTTAATTCTGTGACATTTGTCATCACTAGACACTGAGCAGAATACAGTGGATAAGCAAAGGTTTCTCCACCATGGAGAGAAATTTGTGTTGTCACACACTGTCCCTGTCACCCACCTGTGTGGGAGGACTTCTGAGCAAGTTTTCTTGTTCCAAAGAGCCCTGTGACTCGGCACGAGGCCCTGCCTCAGCACGAGCTGAGTGAGAAGCCACACACGTGCTAGAGGCGACGCGGCACAAGGGAAGAGCCCCGGAGAGCACAAGGGTCAGCCTTTGAAGTAGGTGTGATAAGGCGGCACAGTTAAATTTTAAAATACAAATTGGCACATTTACATCACTGGTGTTCAAGTGCACAGTTCAGATGGATCCAGTCACTTTTCCAAAGACCTTCGTGATATCCTTAAAACACTTCTGCTGAAGTAAAAGAAAGAAAAACACTATACAATTCAAAGGGGAGGTATGTTCATCTCCTACGCCGACAGTGTTGCCCGTCGAGGACCAGTTCCCCAACAAAGGAGTCTGGTCTGTTGTAAGTTCCATCTGGTATAAAGGCCACTTTCCCGCATCAGCACTGCCCGAGGCTTCCTTGTTGGAGTTGTAACCACTGCCTATTCAGAGACTGATGATCTAAGCCCGTGTTAGAAGTTACAGCTGTGTGCCTTCGAAGCAAAAGGGCCTGGATTCATAAGAGCAAGATCAAAGGAGGTGCACATTTCAAGTTCAATGAAATGTGTTAATGTACTGATACAGATCAAACTGTGTGAAACTGTCACTTTTGTAGATCAAAAATCAAATACAATTTCATGTAGCTTGACCTGTGTAATTCAGCATTGTAAGCTATTTTAAATACATGCTTCCTTCTTAGTTATCCTCTGTGGTCTCTGTGTCTAAGTTCTAAGGCAAAGCCTTTTTCTCTGGAGTGAAAATGCAGAGCAGGCTGTCTAAGAGAACTGCACACGGGTGGAGCTGTCCCAGGCCTGCCCGGTCCTGTGCCAGGTGTGGCTGCTGAGCACTTGAAATGTGGCCAGTGTGACTGAAGAACTGGGTTTTTAACTTATTTTTAATAAAAATGAACATGTAATGACCCACATACGGCCACTGACCGCTGTACTGGCTAGTACAAGTTTACACACAGTTGTAATTTGCTCCTGGTCATATTAAAGTGCTTCCCAGATGTATTCTGCTCTGAGAAAATGCGGGATTATCCAGCTAGTATTAAAGTGGAAATGGAGCACATCGCTCCTGCAACTTCAGATGTCTGACCTGGGAGGAGAGCCACCCGACCTTTTTTTTTTACATTCATACACTTAAGAAACTCTGGGCCGTTTTTTCTTTTAACAGAAAAAACAAAATTAACAAAAAGCCTGGTTGGCTGGCTTAATAAGAAATACATCCTGCCCCTTGTAACAAGCGTAGAGAACTGGGAAGGGAGGAGAATACTGGTTGGGACAAGGAGTGAACACGAAAATGTGCGCGGCCACAGCCCACAGGCCCGTCTGGAGGCCCTTCCTTCTCATGAACTTGCACGTCATGCCCCGAGCGCCCTAAGGTCAGCGGGCTGGCCTGGAGCACTTGCAGAAGTCACAGCTACCTTCATAGATGGGCTTCTGGTTCCGGACTTGAAGTTGAGTTGAATCTAAATAGTGCTGGTACCTGTTTTCCTTGAAAACAACTTTAAAACGAAGGCTACTAAACTCAAGAAAAGAAACCTTACTTCATGCAAAGTGAGAATGCTTTTTCATCTTGCTCTGCTATCAGGATAGGCCTATGAGGGTTGTTAAAACTTACAGAGTAGGAAAAACTCTAGTTTCCTTTGGTGGAAACAGACCCCACGGTGTTGCCTGAAGTGCAGGTGCATCAGAATCAATTCTGAGGTTATCGTCTCAGCCTCAGATGGCCAAGCAAGCAGCAGGACTGACGTGGGTGTGCGGTTCATCCCAGAGCCGCAGCTAAGCGGGGACCTAGGCGCTGGCTCAGAAGGGCAGACCGAGCTATGGTTTCATCACACCGGACAACACCTGGATACATGTAGCTGAGTCACAGAGTTTTTTAAAGACTTAAGTGTATTTGGTCTTACTTGGACTTTTCCGTACCCCTGTCTCCTCCATGAAAACACAAAAAATGTCCCCAAACCAGAAGGAAAAAGTATAAGTAATTTTTGAATTTGCAGTATAGGTACAACTGAACCAACAAATTTATTTAATGGGTGCTGATAAACAGCAGCTTTGAGGGGTACCAAGAGCAGCAGTCACCCGGTCTACGTAATGATGCCCTTCATTACCGTTTACAAGCAAAGAGAATGATTACTGAGCAGTCACTGAGATCTCGTGGCCGCAGGCTACGTGCACACATGGTCCTTGACTTAGAGCCAACCTGATCTCCACCACGGCTGTGAGAAGGCAGCAGGCGGTGACTCTGCTCTGCACCATCAGGAACACGTCTTGCTTTCGGCATGTGAGAGTACAAAGCATTGATGCAAATGTGCCTCAGAGTGAGAACTGAAAACAGTAATATAAAAAAGTCAAGTAGAACTAAGTTCCTGAAACTACGTATAAAAACTGAATTATTACAACTAAAGCAGCAAATCAAAACATCTGCTGAGGTTTTCTGGTAGAACTAAAAAGAAATTAGTTGGTGCCCACGTTCAGTACGTCACTACCATTGACAAAATAAAGCTAAACTCAAAATAGGAAACTGAAAAGTGCATAATGAAATTAAATCTTGGATCAAGTATTTATGGAAAACTGGAAATGTTTGTCCGGTATAGTTGATGAATAATGATTGGGAGGAGGTATTAAAGTTTATCCGATCCAGCTTTAGCCTGGCGTTCCACGTAAAAAAGGATGTAGGCCTTGGCCTTCACCACGGTGTCTTCATCGGTCAGCGTTACAGTACTGTCATTGAAATGGAACCAGCGGCCTTCGTGAGTTGCATATGCCGTGTAATGTCCAGAACCGACTCTGCAAGGGAAAGTCAAATGATCAAAGGAAAAGACTACAGAAATCACAAAGGGATCTGTACAAACATATAAATTATGAGATAAACAATACGTTTTAATAAGTCCTGTTATTTAAGAACCAATTCTGGAGACTTGTAGTTTAAGAAGGTTGATTGAGCTCACATATTTATCGCCGCAAAACCCACTGAAATGACCAGGATTATACTGACCCTGGAAGGCAGGGGGGAGAGAGCTGTGGACTGACTAGAAATTGAGGGTTTTCTGGAGCACACAAAGCAGTATTCACAGGGCACTGGATTAACGGAGAAACCAAACAGGGAAGGAGCTTTCAACCTAACAAGCACATGCCAAGGCCTGTGGAAAACTCAGGACCAGACTTCCCGTGAGAGCCTTAGGAGCTGCCTTCAAGGAAGCACCTTCCTCCCCTCCTCCTCTGGCACCAAGGGCCTTTCTCTCTCCGCGTGACCCCCCCACTCACACAGGGAGCCCCGGGTCAGCCCTCCCAGCGAGCGGGGAGCCTGCAGGCAGAGCAGAGCAGAGACCGTCAGCTGCTAGAGAAGCCCTTCCCCTTTACCCAGAACAGCCAGTTGCACTGGTTATGATGATTCTGAATAAACAACGAAAAAGCAAACCCTTGAGGGGAGAAAAATAATATGGAAGTGAAGTGCCAGGAAGAATGATAAAATAGTTAACCACTGAGGAATTTAATGCAGAAAATCAAATTAGTACCAATGGCTTCACAAAGATATTGCAACCATGAAACAAAAATAGGCTGTTATGAAAAAGAGTTATCAGAAAAATGTGATTGCCACAATATAAAAACTTCATGGAGGAGCTAATCTTCAGCTTGGATACAGATGAGCCAAGAGTGGTGATCTGGGGTGGGGGGAGCCATGGCAGTCTTTAGAAACAAAAAGATGGAAATCATTAAAGAATAGTTAAAATGTGTGAAAGATCTAGGAAATTCACTATACATTTAATAGGGGTTCCAGAAGAAAACAGATTGGGGTGGAACAAACACTTCCATGAGCTGAACACACTGGACTAAAGGTGTCCCTGTCAACACCAAACAGAAATACGTCTGATGTAACTCCTTAAGCCTAAGGACAGAATCCTGTAACCTTCCGGAGGGCAAAAAACACCAGAAATGCACAGACATGTGGCCTTGCCATTTATAACTATGAATGGTAAAGTCAGTGGAACAGTGTCTACAGAGTTCAGAGGGAAAAAAGAATTTTCAGCATGGAGAGTGGTTTGCCAAGTCTGCAGGAAAAGCTGCCATTCTCAAGCAGATCAACTATCAGAAGGTATACGCCCCTAATCCAGGCTTTCAGGGAAAGAAAGTGACCAAGAATGTTACCTAACAAAATAAGAAATGCACCTGTGAGCTAGATGACATGAAGTAAGTTATTCTAAATAATCCCCCCTTTCCGCCCATTTAAATACCAGATGGAGTAAAGACTAGTCAGAATTTTGTAGACACTGGGTGGATTCTGAACGCTAGGCTCAAATGCAAGCTTCTCCCCTCTGCTTTTATGTGCCTTCTCTTCATGCTTAGCAACACCCCCTCAGGCCTATTCTTGCCCACCAACACTGAAGGAAAGTTCTCCTTCACTCCTTCCCTTTAACAGAGTGAATCCATTGTTTAGGGAGTTAGAGGAGAATTACCAAGAGTGGTACAAACTTGGGGGCCTTCGCTGTGCCGCCCCCCGCCCTGAGGAGCGCCCCGGCACACTCACCCAGAGCCATGGTGCACCACCACGGCAGCGAGGTCGTACAGGCAGCTCTCCGGGCCGCTGTTCTCGGGCTGCAGGGCAAGGCAGACGGGGCCCCAGGCTGAGTTAGGAGCAGTGGTCAGTGACATCAGCACCTCCCTCCCTCAGCCTCCTCTACCTTCCCTCCGTGAAAACCTGACTTCACTGAAGAGCCATTTTCCCCCCGGCTGACGGCGGTGATCGCCTTACCTCTAGTAAGTAGCATTTCATGTCTAGGCCTCTCAGTGGAAATTCTACGTATGTGTCAACTTTGTTTCTTAAATATGCTGTCCAATGAAATCTTTTCAAATGTAAGCACAGCACCTGGATGAAAGAGAAAGACAAAAATTATGAACACACACTTGGTTTACCTTTCGGTCAGAATTAACTACTTGTTAACTACTTGTCTCTTAAATAATTTTTAGGCGGCCTACCAGGTTTTCTCTTGATTCTTGTTATTCGTTTCTCCCATGAATACCTCACTGTGATACTGTGATTTATAATAATATGTATTTAGTCTTTGTCTCCTTTATCTGGCACAGAACTCCTAAAACCCTTAAAATTTGCAAGTGAAGAGTGCCATAAAAGTGCCTTTTGTTATGTTAATGAGGTACGGGGGCTTGTGGCCAAGAGAGCCAGTTGAGACGAGAGAGCTGGAACTTTGAGCCCACCCCCCGAACCCCCAGAGGGGAGAGGGACTGGAAGTTGGGCTGCCTGTGACTTAACCAGTCATGCCTGTGGAATGAAGCCCAAAAGGACAGGGTCTGGAGAGCTTCCAGGTTGGGGAACCATTACGCTTCCACCTGCCACCATGCCGGGCCCCAAACTCCACGAGGCAGAAGCTCCTCTGTTCAAGTCTTCACCCTTTGTATCTCTTCATCTGGTGGTTGACTCATATCCTTTAACATCCTTTGTAATAAACCGGTAATCTAGTGAGTAAATGTGTTTCCTGAGTTCTATGAGCTGCTCTAGCAAATTAATAGAACGCAAGGAGGGGTCCGTGGGAACCTCTGATTTATGGCCAGTCAGTCAGAAGCACAGGTCACAACGTGGACTTGCAGGTCAAGTGTCTGAAGTCCGGGGAGGGGCCGTGGGAGCCGTCAGTCTGTGGTTTCGTGGAGAAGCATGCACAGGGTAACAGCCTGGGCTTGTGACGGGGGTCTGATGGGGAGGACGGTCTTGTGGGGCTGTCAGAACTGGGCTGAACTGCAGGACACCCACGGTGTCAAAGAATTGCTTGTTAGTGGCGTAGTGGGAAAACGCCCCCCTCCACACACTGTAAATGGTGACCAGGACACATTTACTTATGAATTCTCAAAGGGTTTATTTAGCTTTACTGAAAACCCTAGAGACCGATGCAGAACAGATCACATAGTATAAAGTTAGAAAAATACTTTGTCTCCCAATCGGTCATAAGCATTTTTTCCCCTCAAAATTGCATTATAATTTAAAACTCAACACTTACCTTGGGTAGTTTTTGAATCCAAAACTTTTTAGTGGACTTTTGTTTTTTCTTACACTTGTGGCACATGTATAACTCTGTTTCATCAAGTTCTTCTAAGTCAGTAAAACTGCGAAGACAATCTAAAACCAAATTGTGGCAGCATTAAAACATGGTATTATATCTCTTATAGAGGCAGCGTGCTGCAGAAAAGACACTGAACTCTGAAGCTGAGCAGCTCAGGTTCAGATCTCAGGTTTATCAGCTACATGATCGTGAGAAAGTCAGCCTTTCTTGGTTGCAAAATGGAGACCAAAAAAAGTCTGCATTGAAGAACTGTTGTGTGGAAGACAAATAATGTGTATAATGTGCCTGGCATCTGGGGACAATCAATGAATGACAGATGATATTGCTGGGTTTGCTATTATTAATGAAAGAATTAATCTGGAGAATTCTGACAAAAATGGTTCCCTAATGAAATCAAGGTTAAAATAGCAATTTTCTCTCAATATCTTACATAACAAAGGACAAAGTGCCAAGTTCATACAAAAGTCAAATTTAGATCAAACATTTTCACAGCCATAACTTATTAAAGAGCAAACACGGATTACAGAAGCTGCATTACTGACCTTCCTGCTACTTCATCTCCCGTGAATCCTTTGTTTCACACTCTACTCAAACCCCCCTGGATGACCTGGATATTTTTTCTTTAAAAGATTTAACTGTAATCTGGAGTTTGGTCAACTTTGGCCCCAAGCCAAATCCAGCCACCTGGTTCTGCTCCAAACTGCATTTAAAGTCTGCCCACTCGTTTATATGCTCTGACTGCTTTTATACCACAACCACAGGAGCGAGTAGTTGTGACACAGTATTTGCCCCAAAGCCTAAAATAGCTACCATCTAGCCCTTTATAAAAAAAGTTTGCTGCCTCCTGTTATATTAGTAGTATATTCAGAAGTCCGTATAAACATGTATGTATTGTTCTGTAAAGAATTAATGTTTTCCAGAGAAAAATATGCATGCTTTTGTACCCTCCACTACGATAAAGAAATGGGTTCTCCAGGATGTGATGAGCCAGTGTCTGTGAATGGCACCCCCTAGAGTGGTGCAGGGGCACGCTGTGCGGCAGCCCTCTTTGATCACAGTAAACCTACTTATCATTAGTCACCATACATAAGTGACAACATTTTTTTTCTACCGATGAGAACATTTAAGATTTACCCTCTTAGTAACTTTCAAATATGCAGTGCAGTATTAACTATAGTCGGCGTGCCTTACATTACCTTCTCCCTGACTTTCTAAGTGCAAGTTTGTAAATTTTGACTCCTTGACTCTGTTCACCCCTTTTGCCCACCCCCACCCCTGGTTCTGGCACCCACCAATCTGTTGTGTCTATGAACTGTTTTTTTTTTTTCAGATTCCATATATAAGTGAAATCATATGGTATTTGTCTTTCTCTAACTTACTTTATTTAGCACAATGCCTTTAAGATCCATCCATGTTGTCCCAAATAGCAAGATTTCATTCTTTTTCATGACTGAATTATATTCCTCTGTGTGTGTGTGTGTGTGTGTCGCGCTTTCTTTATCCATCCATCCATCAATGGACACTTAGGTTGTTTCCATATCTTGGCTATGCTGCAATGAACATGGGGGTGCATATATCTTTTCACATTAGTGTTTCCATTTTCTTTGGATGAATAAGCCAGAAGTATAACTACTGGATCGTATGATAGTTCTACGTTTAATTTGAGGAAACTCCATACACAGTGGCCGCACCAATTTACGTTCCCACTAACAGCGCACAAAGGTTCCCTTATCTCTACGTCCTTGCCAACACTCGTTCTTTGTTAACTTCTTGATGACAGCCATTCTGTCAGGTGTGAGGTGGTATTTCTCTGTGGTTTTTATTTTTACTTCCTTGATAATTAATGATGTTGAGCATCTTTTCATGTACCTGATGGCCCTCTGTATGTCTTTGGGAAAATGTCCAGGCCGATCTTCTGCCCATTCTTTATCGCTGACTCTTGAACAACGCAGGTTTGAACTGTGCAGGTCCACTTGCGTGCAGATATTTTTCAGCAGTAAATACTGCAGTATTACATGGTCTGTGGTGAGCTGAATCCGTGGATGCAAAGGACTGGGTATGAAGGGCCAACTATAAATTATACATGGACTAAACCCTCATTGCTCAAGGGTCAACTGTAATCAGATTGTCTGGGGGTTTTGCTATTGAGTTTTTTTATATGTTTTAGATATTAATCCCTTATCAGATAAGTGACACAAATGACACTGTCCTTTCCCTGTTGTGTATTCTTGGTTCCTTTGTCATAAAATAACTGACCATGTACGTACGGTTTATTTCTGGGCTCTCTATTCTGTTCTTTTTATGCCAAAACCATACTGTTTTGATGACTGTTTGAAATCAGGGAGCATAAGACCTCCAGCTTTGTTCTTTTTTCTCAAGATGGCTTTGGGTATTGAGAGAGAGAGAGAGAGAGTGTGTGTGTGTGTGTTTCTGAATTATCTGTTCTAGTTCTGTGAATAATGCCACTGGTATTTTACAGGGACTGCATTAAACCTGTAGACTGCCGCGGGCAGTGTGGTCATTTTCCCCACTGATTCTTCCAGCCTGTGAGCACAGGGTCTCTTTCTGTTTGTTTGTATCACCTTCGATTTCTGTAATCAATGTTGTGTAGTTTTCTGAATATAGGTCTTTTACCTACTTGGTTAGATTTCTGGGTTTCACTCTTTTTGATACAGTTGTCAATGGGACTGTTTCCTTAATTTCTCTTTCTGATAGTTCATTCTTAACACACAGAAATGTAACAGATTTTTGTATGTTGACTTAATATCCTGCAACTTTACTGAATTCATTTTATTCTGACAGTTTTTTGGTGCAGTCTTTGGGAGTTTCTATATATAATACCGTGTCAGCTGCAAATAGTGATAGTTTTACTTCTTCCTTTCAGATTTGGATGTCTTTTGTTTCACCTTCTTGCCTAACTGCTCTGGCTAGGACTTCCAACACTATGTTGAATACAAGTGGCTTGAGTGGACATCTTTGTCTTGCCTCTGATCTTGGAAGGAAGGATTTCAGCTTTTCACCACTGAGTATGATGTTGGCTTTGGACCTGGCATATGTGGCCTTTATTACGTTGAGGTGTACTCCCTCTTTTGTTTCTCTATTGAGGTATAGTCAGTTTACAATGTTGTGTCAGTTTCTGGTGGCCAGCACAATGCTTCAGTCATACATGAATATACATATATTCAGTTTCTTATTCTTTTTCTCGGGGTGTACTCCCTCTATACACACTTTGAGAGGTTTTTTTTAAAAATCATAAATGGATGTTTAACTTTCTTAAATACTTTTTCTGCATCTATAGAAATGATCATATAATTTATATCTCTCATTTTGTAAACGTGGTATATCACACTGACTGACTTTGCAGATGTTGAACCATCCGTGCATGCCTGGAATAAACCCTACTTGCTCGTGGTGTATGGTCCTTTTACTGTACTGCTGAATTGGGTATGCTAAATTTTTTTTTTTTTTTTAGGATTTCTGTGTTTATGTTCATCAGGAATATTGGCCTTTAAGCTTTCTTTTCCTTCTCCTTTTTTGTGGTGTCCTTGTCTGATCTTGATATTAGGTAATGCTGGCCTCAATGAGTTTGGAAGGGTTCCCTCCCCTTCTGTTTATTGGAAGAGTTTGAAAAATACTGTATTCTTCTTTGAATGTTTGGGCGCGTTCACCAGTGAAGCTGTCTGGTCCTAGACTTTTGTTTGTTGGGAGACTTTGATTACTGATCAGTTTCCCTACTAGTAATGGGTCTGTTCAGATTTTCTGTTTCTTCATGAGTCAGTCTTGGTACATTGTATGGTTCTAGAAATTCTTGTGTGTTGTCCAGCTGGTTGGCATACTAATTGGTCAGAGTAGTCTCTGATGATACTTGGCATAGTTTGGCAAGTTGTAATGTCTCTTTTTCATTTCCGGTTGTTATCTATTTGAATGTTCTCTTTCTGTTTGGTAAATCATAGTTAAAGACTTGGCAATTTTGTTTGTCTTTTCAGAGAAACAACTCTTAGTTTTATTGGTCTTCTCTATTTTCAGTCTCAAATTCATTTATTTCTGCTCTGATCTTTGTTATTTCCTTCCTTCTACAAAGGTTGGGGTTCGTTTGTTCTTTTTCTAGTTCCTTGAGGTGTAAAGTTAGGTTCTTTGAGATTTTTCTTGTTGCTTGAGGTAGGTATTTATTGCTATGAACTTCTCTCTTAAAACTAATCTTGCTGTATCCCCTAAGTTTGGTGTCTTTTACTTCCCTTTTCATTTTTCTGAAGGTATTGTTTGATTTTTGATTTCTTCTTTGACCTATCAATTGTTCAGTAGCAAGTTGTTTTAATCTCCACGTTTGTGACTTTTTTCAATTTTCTTCTTGTAGTTGGCTTCTAGTTTCATAGCATCATGGGCAGAAGAGATGTCTGATATGATTTCAGTGTTCCTAAATGTACTGACTTGTTTTGTGCCTTTATATATTATACACCTGATGAATAGTCCATGTGCATTTGAGAATAACATGTATTCCGTTGCTTTTGTATGAAATGTTGTGTATACATCTAACAAATTCATCTGATCTAACATGTCATTAAAGGCTAATGTTTCCTTATGGATTTTCTGTCTGGATGATCTATGCATCAATATAATTGGGGTATTAAAGTCCCCACTATTGATTGTATTGCTGTCTATTTGTCACTTTAAGTCTGTTAATGTTTGCTTTACATAGTCAGCTGCTCCTAGGTGCCTAAATATTTACAAATGTTTCATCCTCTTGTTGGACTGACCCTTTATCATGATGTAACACCCATCACTGTCTCTTATTACAGTCTCTGTTTTAAAAGCTATTTCATCTGATAGAACTACTCCAGCTTTCTTTTGGTTTCCATTTGAATGGAGTATGTTTTTCCATCCCTTCATTTTCACTCTTTGTGAAAGAGTCTCTTGTAGGCAGCATATAAACAAGTCTTGTTTTTTATCCATTCAGCTGCTCTGTCTTTTGATGGGAGAATTTACTTCATTCACATTTAGAGTAACTATTGGTAGGCATGTACCTAGTGCCACTTTGTTCACTGTTTCCTGGCTGTAT